CACACACACACACTGATACACACACACACACTGATACACACACATTCATACACACAGACACACACTGATACACACACATTCATACACACACACACACACTGATACACACACACACTGATACACACACATTCATACACACAGACACACACTGATACACACACATTCATACACACAGACACACACTGATACACACACATTCATACACACACACACACTGATACACACACACACACTGATACACACACATTCATACACACACTGATGCACACACACACACTGATACACACACACACACTGATACACACACATTCATACACACAGACACACACTGATACACACACATTCATACACACAGACACACACTGATACACACACTGCTCTCCACCAGCATCCTCTATCCTTCCTTCCTTCCTTCCTTCCTTCCTTCCTTCCTTCCTTCATTTCTGTCCTCATGTCCTTTCCTTGCTCTCACCCTTCCCTCCTTCCCTTCCCTCTGCTTTCTTTCTTTCCTCCTCTCCCTCCTTTTGCTCTCATTCTTGTCACCTTCCAGATTTTCCTTCCTTTTGCTCTCTTCCTCCCTTCCCCTCTTTCCTGTCTTCCTTCCCTTCGTCCTGTCTTTCTTTCTTTCTTTCTTTCTTTCTTTCCTTTTCCTTCCTTCCTTTCCTTCTTTCTTCCCACCTTTTTCCTTCATTCCTTTCTTTCTTCCTTCCTCCCCTTCTTTACTTCCTTCCATTCTTCCTATTTTCCTTCCTTTCTTTATCCTTCCTTGATTTCTTTCTTTCTTTCTTTCTTTCTTTTTCTTTTCTTTTCTTTATTCCCTCCTTCCTCCCTTCCTTCCTCCCTTTCTTCCTTTCTTTCTTTCTTTTTCTTTTCTTTATTCCCTCCTTCCTTCCTTCCTGTCTTTCTTCCTTTCTTCCTTTCCCCTTCTTTCCTCTCCTTCCTTCCTTTCTTCCCTTTGTCCTTTCTGTCTTTCTTTCTTTCTTTCTTTCTTTCTTTCTTTCTTCTGTCCTTCCTTTCTTTGTCTTCCTGTCTTTCTTCCTTTATTCCTTTCCTCTTTCTTTCTTTCTTTCTTTCGTTCTTTCTTTCTTTCCTTTTCCTTCCTTCCTTCCTTCCTGTCTTTCTTCCTTTCTTCCTTTCCTCTCCCTTCCTTCCTTCCTTCCTTCCTTTTGTCCTTTCTTTCTTTCTTTCTTTCTTCTGCCCTTCCTTTCTTTGTCTTCCTTTCTTTCTTTCCTTTTCCTTCCTTCTTTCCTTCCTTTCTTCCTTCCCTACTTCCATTCTTCCTTTCTTCCTTCCTTCCTTCCTTCTTTTTAATTTTATGCCTTCTTCGCAACTTTCCCTTCCTCTTTTCCTTTCCTCTGCTTTCTTCCTTTCCTTCTTTCCTTCTATCCTTTCACCTCGCTCTCTTTCTTTAATCGTCCCCCTACTTTCCCTCCTTTTGGTCTCAATCTTTCCTCCTTCCCTTTTTTTAATTTCTTTCCTTCTTCACAAATTTGTCTTCATCATTTCCTGTAACTCTTTTCTTCTCCTCCTTCGCTTCCCTTTACTTGATTTTCTTTTTCTTTTTTCTTTTTTTTGAGGCCTCCTCCCACCTCCACGTCTCCTCCACTCACACAAACAAACTCAACAACATGAAGACGCCACGCTCACTCACATGCGTTACATCACTTCCTGGTTGGTGGAGGAGGCGAGCGTTCGTACCTCTGATTGGTGACGATGTAGCCGAACTCCTCAGCTTTGGTCGCTGGTTCATCTTTGGCTGCCGCAGCGGGAGTCAGATCCTTCTGAGCTGCTTCTAGTTTGGGTGGTTTGTTGGTGGAGGGCGGAGCCTCAATGGCGGCCATCTTGTACGCCATTGAACCCTCTGAGATCTGATGATACAGAGAATAAAACACTCACGTTTTCACATCGTTGAGTACGGCCATTTTCTGCTGCTTCAAACTTTTATATTGTACTTTTTCTACAGCTGTTACTTTGAAAATGTTTTTATGAATGTATTTTAACACCAAAATAAAACAAAGACACGTGCTCACCTTCTTTCCTGCCGCAGCGTCGTTCCCATATTTATCTAAATAGGAAACAAAAATAATCATCAATAATGCAGCACAAGTTATATTTAGACGTACTGAGACTATTTTAACCCACTTCCTGGTTATATAAGATGAACATCCATCCATCTTAAGATCCAGATATCACTGTGACAACAGTTTCATCAGGACTGCATCCAATTTAGAGGCGAAAACTAAACACATCTTACATTTTAACCACGTTTGTGCCTCAGTAGAATCTGATCAGATAATAAACTGTTTCCTTTCAGGAGAGACCAGGATGATGACTGTGTCTAAGTTCATTCTTCAGAATGAGATGGATGCAAGCTCACAGTGACCTTTAGCCTTCAACCACCAAATATTCAGTTCATTCCTGAGTCCAACTGGATGTTTGTGCCAAATTTGTGGAAATTCTCTGAAGGCCTTCTTGAGATATTGCGTTCAAGAGAATGACACGGACGCAAGATCACAGTGACCTTT